TCAATCAATAACAGGTAGCTAACATAATTTTAGCTCTTTGACCGTCTTCATGACTGGAGAAGTCTACTGTTCTGACAACTGGATGCAGAGTCAGATGCTTAGTCTTTATAAGAGTTTTTTTTGGCATCAATACGCCTTGGATTTCAAGGACCATCCAGGAAGCCATTAGCTGTAATGGCTTCCCAATATCAGAAATCATCTGAATATTTCAATTTATTAGACTGGTAAGTTTACTCCAAAATAGCTTATCCCAAAATGGAGTAACAACATAATTATCGCAAAGCCTAACTGGTATTCCAGGTTTGAAGTCAACTTGTCATGTTGTTGATAAAAATCATAAGCTTTTTCCTTTGAAACATCATTTGAAACAGCAAACATTAATCCACACTGTCACTCCACATAGCAACATAATTCTCTTGTACACATATTGTGAAAGGATGTCATTTATTATTGAGTGTCAGCCATGTTTGGATCAGCGTGGATCACCTAAAGCAAAGTGATTTTGGTAATTAAATTCAGCCAGAGCAGAAATATCAGAGGAAAAGCAACCATTGCTGCCGGCAATATTGCTGTTGAAACCAAGGCTCTCCGGCTCTTAAACTTATCACCTGTGACTACAGACTTATTGTTGGAACAATCTTGCTTTTCCAAAGGAGAACACTGTTAAAGTTGCTGATAAGTAGTTAGCTCAACCGGCAAAAGATTATCTTTTTCTTACATAAAATTTTGGGTTCGAATTTTATTAAGATTATTTTAAATGTATAAATTTAATTATTTATTTTAATTTTTTTGCACGATATCTTGTTTTAACCTAAAAAAGTAAACAATGTATTTATCATTAAATTTTTCATTAAAAAAAACACTGTAAATGTTGAGTACTAAAAATTAAAATAATGTTCATCAAACAGGAAGAATAAGATCATTACTCGCAGCGACTTCGGGCTTTAATTTCTGGATCATTTATCCGGCAAAAGACACAAAAACATTTCGAGAAAGATTGCAGATGGTAACATGGAGCTTTTGCCATTTACAAGTAGTAGTGGTTAGTTTGGTTTATTCCTTTGTTCTTACGAAGAGGAAATGTGGAGGGAAACAGGAAGTACTCGTTCGAATATTTTTGATGTAATTAAATTTGTTATATTATTAATTGAATCGAAATATTAATTTTAATAAAATTAAATTAAATTAAAATTTTTATTAAAATTTTTTAATAATAATTATAATAAATTTTTTTCGATTATAATTATAATAATTTTTATTTCTATTTTTTTATCTTTATCATTGTCGGCATCACAGTCAAAATGAAGCCAAAGTGTTCAAGGAGTAGGATGTCGCACGTTTAATATATGTTTGGTCCATTCTTATCCATTTGTTTTGCAGTGGGGGATAGGTTGGGAATATTAGCACACGTGTCTTTCTTTCTTCCTTGGTTATTGCTATTCCATCATCCACTACTCCGGAAAGGAACCAGCTTTGACCAGCATAAATCCTATTGGCCCACGCCTCCACTAAATGCAAGAATATGAAAATACAAATGAATTAATATTGTGGGTTCTGGCTGTCCACCCTCCAGGCCTATTAGTGGGCGAATATGGGTCTTAAGGGTCTCCCAGTTCCAGACGGAATTTATTGGGCAGAAGTTTGGGCCCATCCTGACGTAAGCCTCTGTTAGTGCAGTCTTAACTCTGAATATCCTAAAATCACATTTAGAAGGCAAAGCTCTAAATTCCGAACCAAACGACCCCTAATTCTTAACACCATTAACCTCTTCACCTACTTATTGTGTGGTTTCAGTCGTTCAGACACAACAAGAAGTTCCAGTTGCCCATGAAGCAGAGTTATAACTGCAAGAAGCTGGAAAAAGCATGTGGGGGTAACAATAACATATCCATATCCATTCCAAGCCTAACGTATCAATCTATAAATCTAGCTATCAGCTCCCTCTCGAACTCGGACATACGTTAATTTCAGAGGAGGCAAAAGCCAACGCAGATTCAGTTTGGAGCTTGGGAGAATGACACAAAATATGAGACACACACCAACACACCAAATTCAATATCAACTTTATCAATTTCTACCCAATCCCACCAGGGCACCAGCCATAACCATAAGAGAGAGAAGGTCAATCATATCCTTCACAAACAGTAACAAATAGCTTCTGCAGGCTTTATACAGAGGGAGACAGCTTTTCCTTTTTTCGTACATGTAGGCATGAATACATATGCTGGTATGTCTTCACTAACACAACTCAACATAACAGCTTCTCACCTATGATGGGTCATTAGTGAAATCAATTTATTAGTATGTGTGTATATAAAATTCAAAGCCAACACACATATGCACACGTAACAAGAAAGAAAGAATCAAATTAGTCTATAGACAATTAGATTTTTTTTTTTCTAAGTATATACTGAAAATAGAATTCTTAAACTTCACAAAAGGGATTAGAGTTGACATTTGTAAACTTTAAAGATTTTACAACGGGTGTGTGAGATACATTTTCATATACTACAATATTCTTTTTTGTCTCTTAATTTTTTTTTCAGGTTAATGTTCTAAATTATTTTGTTTGCCAATTGCCAATTTGGCATATATTATTTAGTGTATGCTAATGGAAAATTACTTAATAAACTAAAAACATAATAAGTTATAGCTGCATTGCATGCATGTTGATCATATATACCTCAAGATTCTCAAATTTAAATATAATTAATCTCCACAAATTATTTTTTTGAAACAAAACTAGTTAATGAATAATTTTGTGTAGCCTGTGATATTATGTTTTATTTAACTATTATTGACCTAATTTGGTAAGTAGAAAGTTTAATTAGCAACATATATATAGTAATTGTTTGAAAGTATTATATGTTTCCCAATCACCATGAGAGCAAGACTCTGATCATCCCCGTTCTATTGTTTACTCATAAATCTCGTTAAAATCTTCTGATTAAACCAATATTTTTATGGGCAATTCAATGCATAACATAAGACTAAAATTGATCAAAGTTAAGCCAGTTCTCGGTCTCCTGACCCCCAAAGTTAGCAACAGTAAGATTAATAAGAGTTAAACCAGCTTTTTTTATAAGTAGACCGATGTAGAGGACTAACAACTCGAGCCTTGTGCTCAAGCAGAACAAGAGCGCCAATTGTCAGAACTTCAGAATGTTGCGTCAGATTCTGGATCTAATCTGCCCTATCCCTACAAAATGCTGATGCATACACATATATTAAAGATTTAGGTCAGGCGATAGTTCAAGCCCTATATATGGTTTGATCTAGAGCATCCTGACACTACTCTCGTACATGAGTTGTTCTCCTTTCTCATCACTATTTGGATCAAATAAAGCACCAATTGGTTTAGGCCGGAAAACGAGTTGCATTTCTTCATAAAACTTACCAAAAATACACTATTAACATAGTTTGTATACTAGCTAGAATTAAACGATATCATTGCCTCTTAAGATAAAATCTTTTTTTTTGGCCAGCCAATACAAACTGAAAATGTGACTGATTGTTAATTTTAAGTAGGAGAGTAAAGAATGGACAGTATGGAAAGCAGATAATGTCAATTGTTTTATGTACTAAAGTACTTGAAGGAGGAAAAAAAGTTCCATGTTATACTGCTAGTGGATTTAATTTGTTTACGTTTTACATTAAGGCCGCAAGCGAAATAGCCTTTCAACTCTTTTCAAATTTGACTTTTGAGCAAAAGATCGCTTATTCAAGTGTGTGTGTGTCAGATTCTCAGGCTCATTTCCCTTTCAGCATGGTAAGGGGTATGGTTTAAATTTTGAATAGCTCATTTTGATCATGGCCTGTAAAAGGCCAAGAAAACTTTGCAAACCCCTCTTTTTTTCCTTTCTGATTTCAATTATACCATATTCCCACAACTCAATTAATGGTAATGTGTTGCATACGAGTTTATAAAGGCCCCTCATTCATTTTTCTGTCATGAAGATAGAAGGGTTAAAAAAATCATTGAGAATATTCAAAGGAGAGAATTGTTATTTGAGCTTTGAATAGTATATTACGAACTTATGTTTGATATATTATCAATTTATAGATTTTATTTATTAAGTGAATCAAATAATAAGATCTCGTTAACGAGAAAATTTTAAAAAATTTTAATTTATGTATATTTATTTTAAAGATTTATATTTATTTATTGATAAGATATTATCATTTGATTTATTAACGTATAAAATTTATACATTGATAATATATTGAATATAATCTCATATGTTATTACTAGTAATTATCAAAGCAAAGTTAAGATAGGTAGTTGGCAGAAAAGATAACAAAAGCCCGATTCTGGGTGAGAAAAGAGAGCTTGAAAAAGTTCTAACCAAATTAACAAACATAAGCCAGAAAGAAATAGAAATTTAGGAAAGGACAAAGGTTGTATCTGGGAGCAAAGTCTGTGGCCACTGGCAAATGGGCTTCGACTGACTTAAATACGCTTCTGTCTGCGTGTAAGTCGAGAGAAATTGAGTGGTCATTTCACCAAAAGTAACCTTTCAGCTCTAAATAAATACACATAACATTAAATTATGGTCTTTTTTAACTTTTTTTGTTTTGTATATATAGTGTAATGTACTTAATACTATGAAAGCAAAGCATGCTGGTTGATGATTGTGCTATGATGAATTTGATGATTCATGTTATGATGAATGAGTGAATGATTTCAGATGATGGATATGGATGGAGATGGGGACGGGGAGCCTTTACGAGGTGGAAGCGAGGAGTTGACAGGGGACAGAGCTGAGGGGTTTATTACCCGGATGGTACAAAGGCGCGTTAGGGTTTTTGGGTTCGGAAATTGAAGCAAAAAATATAAAATAATAGTTTTATCAGGAAAAGGAAGCAAACACTATGCAAACACAGCCTCTTAGCTGTTGAAAGCAACGGGTGAGTAAGTGAAAGCTATGTCACCCCATGCACACGTCCCTTTCTTGCTTCTCTCCCCCACATCTACCGCCTCAGCCCTTTCTCTCTCTCTCTCCTTTTCACTTGCACAAACACAAACTTTACCTTGGGAATGCCAACCACACATCTCATGAACTCATGATGTGTGTATGTCTTACATGTATGTATGATGCTATGATTTGGTATATGTCATGCATGTCTTAATACCCAAATTTACATGTTAGCTACAAACAAAACTAATACACAGAAGGCAAAGAGGGAAGGAGATTTCTCTCCGCTTTTATGTTTTTCCCCCTTCTCTGTTCCTTTTCTGCCGTCTTATATCTAGTAGACCAAGTAGATCATCTATCTTCTCTCTCTTTCTTTCCTCATTCTCTGTCTCTTTCTCTAACAACTCATAATCAAGAAAAGCAGATCCAAGGTGGTGGTTAAGCTGTCATTCTATCAATCCATCAATCAATCAAAAAGAGAGCAATCATCAATCAATTTTAAAAGAGAAAGGAAAGGGGAATCAAAGAAGATGTCCTCCTCTTCTACCTTGTCTTTGGACCACCTCCCTCCCTCCGAGCAGCTCTGCTATGTTCATTGCAACATTTGCGACACTGTTCTTGCGGTACCATTAACCAATGTTTGCCTTCATTGCTCATCCACTGCTTTCCCCTCTCACTTTCACTTTTCTTGGTTTAACCTTTTGTTCACCAATTAGGGTCTTATAGCTTAGGGTTTTCTTTTTCTTTCCTTTTTTATATCACCTTCTTGCTATATATGTCCCCTTCATAAGGATGATGTTTTTCACTTGGGATGTCTTTTGCGGATTCTTTTTTGTGCTATATAGGTCAGTGTTCCTTGCACAAGTTTGTTCAAGACTGTAACGGTTCGATGTGGACACTGCACCAATCACTTGCCAGTGAACATGCGTGGGTTGCTTCTGCCTTCAGCTAATCAGTTTCATTTGGCTCACAGTTTCTTCTCTCCTTCATATAATCTTCTGGTATAATGATATAAGCAAATTTTAGAGGACCATATATATATTTTTTGCTGATTAAGCAGCTAAACATTAGTACTACTTGTTATTCGTACTGGTATAGCATATCCAGAAATGAATTTTGTATTTTGAGCCTGGTTAATTTGATGTCTTTATTCCAGGAAGAGATCTCAAATCCTTCTCCAAACATTTTGGTCAATCAAACCAACACGACTGACTTCACCTTATCCACCCGTGGAGCAGCTGATGGGGTTCCAAAGCCCCCAGTAATCAACAGACGTGAGTGCCCAAAACTCTTATTCTTTGAATATTGTTTGTCTAAACTATTGAAACTGTTTTTGTCAAAGCCACTGTGCACTTGTTTTTTTCTTTCAAAGATTCTCTAAATTCTTTCACTTTATATTCCTGTTCAACATCCGGTATGTTTTCCAGGGTTATAAAGGAAAAATGGAGAGGCAGGGAATGATCATAACACTTGCAAAAGAAGGCAATGAAATCAGACCATTTCCATTATTTGCACTCTTTCTTGCAATCTTGAAGGTCATTTCACAAGGTGTTAGACAAGAAAGAGAAACCTTCTTTTTTCACCACTATAATAAGAACCCTCCAATGCCTGCCATTTCAGCCTTCTGTTTCAAAACCAGACGCCCTGATTTAGAAAAAAAAAAAAAATTTCTTATCTTTTCATTATAATTGGCAGCAAGAAAAAATGTTTCTTTAATGGTTGCAAAACTGCCCACAATTCTATAAAACTTGAGCACTATATCGCCATCGCCACGGAAAACCAAGATGACATCATAGTCCCTTTAAATTCTTGGTAATAATTGATCAAAGGCCTAGCCAAGTTTTAAAGGCAAGAAAATATCACTTAAGAGATGGGGCCTTTCATTGAGTGCAACAGTGCTTCAATCCCCCAATCGCAGATTTAGCCAGTAAAGAATGATAAAGCATTTTCTTCCCCCGGAAATTAAATGCAGATAGTAATAGTATAGTGAGAGAATCTTTAAGAAAACATTGAATAGTGAAAATTAGAAATGATGGTGAAGTGACAGTAGAGAAAAAGATAAAAAAGAAAGAGGCAGAACTCCAGTAAAAGTCAGTATAGTGATTTTAATATGTGTCTGTTCATGTTCAGCTCCGGAGAAGCGACAGAGAGTCCCCTCCGCGTACAACCGATTCATCAAGTAAGCAATCATTTAAGGCAATTTGATTTTTTGGCAATTTACGTCAAACACATTTTTTTGTATACATAAATACGTATTCATGTGTGGTTTTTGTTTTCTTGAAATATAAAGTTGGTAAATCATGTGAATTGGATGTGGTGAATGAATCTGTGCTGCAGGGACGAGATCCAACGCATCAAGGCAGGAAATCCTGATATAACTCACAGAAAAGCCTTCAGTGCAGCTGCAAAGAATGTAAGATCCAAGGCAAAAATCTTTTGGAGATATATGATTTTTGCTTTCTTTACCAAATTAGTTATTATATCACACACAAAAAAAGTTAGGGTTTCATTTAATTTTATCTTTTTTCTTGCTCTTCTCTTTTGCTGGGGTCCTTTGACTGATCCTATTTTGTTTTCTTTTTGTCAGTGGGCTCACTTCCCACATATTCACTTTGGCATCATGCCTGATCAGAATGCAAAGAAGACTAACGTGCGCCAGCAGGTGACTTTTGCACCCTTTCCTCCCATGACCAAAAACATTTGATAGACATTACTATTACTAAACTGATGGAAGTTTTATTTCGTTTTGAGTCTTTGTAGGAAGGAGAGGACGCTCTTCTGAAAGATGGGTTTTTTGCTTCAGCAAATGTGGGTGTCTCTCCTTACTAAGCAGTGAGCAATCAAGACTGCTATATTTTCCTTTGTTCTTCTCTAGCAATCTGCCATTAGGTCTCTCTCATCTCTATCTCTATCTCTAAGCGCAGTCTCAGTTGCAGCAAGCATATGTTTTGTAGTTGGTAGGAGACGAACTTGCTGGTCAAGATGCTGGTCAAGTTTGGCTACTAGTACTATTAATTACTTTCATAACCCATCTGCCACTGCTGGACCCCTTTTAATGTTCATAGTTTGAAATCTAGTACTAATATTTAAGCATGTACTCTCAGGAACAAAAAAAAAAAAAAATAAGCGTGTATTTTTAGTTTTAGATAATGTCCTGTGTCCACCTTTGCTTGAAAAAACATTACTCTTAATGTCATTTCTGATTGGTGAATCTTGCTAATCAACTACTACTAGTTTAAACTCTCTTATCTGTTCGACAATTTTAATTAATTAGTTTCTTCTTTCATGCATCACTCTTATCTTATGAGAAAAATAGTTGCTTTATATAGTTTTTAGATATAATAAATTTTCCATTTTATAACATAATAATATTATAATAATTCTTCCACTTTTGGTTGGTTGCGTGGTGGGAGGGCTTTCTCTCTAGTCGTGTTTAAGGATATAAATGATATATTAGTATTCGTAAATTATTTGGATTCCATTCGAATAAAATTTATATTCGATTTGATTATTATCGAATTAAGTTCGAATTCGAGTAACTTGATTCATCGATCGAACCGAGTTTCAGTATTTTTATACTCGATTCAAATAGTTCGCGAGCTTAATCTAACTTTTATATTTAAATACATTTTTATTATTTTAATTAATAATATATCTCAATTCGAGCTTGAGCTCGAGTTCGAACACAAATAATCGAATTTTTATTAAATATAAGAATCGAATTTATTTTTATTTATTAATCGAGTATAATCGAATGAATTTAAGTAACTTGATTTTTATCTTGAGTCAGTTAAAGCTAAAAAAATAAAACTCGATCAAGAGTTTATTTTATGCCATATATTAAATGCATATATCAATCAGAATTTCTAAGTTTTGGTGCGTCTAAAGATACATTACACCTTTGGCCAAAAAACAAAGATACATTTAAACAATTCTCTGTTTCATAGGTACACTGTAGTAGCAAGGGATAAAACTTGGGTGACGTTTCTGGTATGAAATTCATTCAATTCCCCCCATAAATTCTAAATGTGTGTTAATTAAAATGGCTGTTCAACATAAATTAGGTTGATTTTTTAACTTTAATTCCACAATATTAATGACAACTATTTTAACTTTAATTTCATTAGGATTTTAACATCTGTCTGACAGGCCAGCCCAGCCCTTTTATAATTGCTTGTTCCAACTAAGTGGGCTTTTGCAGGCAGGCAACCGTGGTGGAATATGAAGTCAGTTGTCCAAGCAAAAAAAAAAAATCGCACAGGCACAACAATCCGAAGGGGATTACAAGCCTTTGTTCAAATACCGGGGATGTGGAACACAATCATGCCAACAAAGTAGTGTTGGTGTTGTGAATAATTACGATTGCACTTATTTTTCAGTCCTACACACTGAATCCTGTAAAAATGATAAATAATTCCTTTTCTTCCCATGAATTGTATAATACAACCTATATATATTACCAAGCTATTCCAACAAAAAAAAAAAAAGAGGTTCAGCTTAAATTTTGATTCATAGGGTGAAGAGAATTTTTTGTTCATTAAAGTGTTTGTTGAACTTATTATGATGTTATTACCTTAAAACCTATCGATGCTTGACAGAAATGGAGTTATTTCGGAATAAGATGCTAGACGATGGCTCTCCAAAGAGAGCACCCCCACAATCTCAAAGTAAACTTTGTAAAGGGGTTTTTCTTTTCAACCTTCAAGTCGCTCCTCCCCACTTGCCCTACAAAGCAGAAAAGAAATGGAGTGAAAAAAGCTGCCTTTTCAACTCCAACATAACCCCAGTAGGCCAGTAGTTCCTATATCCAGCCTTTTCAATGTCTCTCTCAACTGAGAAAGGACATTAGACAATAATTTCACTGCAACTTGGGCCAGCAATTCCGTCCTTAATTAGCAACATTGAATGAGGCCTTTCGATAGATATCAGCGTTTGAATGTCTGAAAGTCTGACGTTTGCTTTTATCAGTTAATATGCTAGCATACAATGACCCGGAGTAATGATCTTCGTTCTTCTATTTGCATGTAGTTCAGATTATAGTCAACTTAATTCTGCTTAGTGTAAGTGAATAAGAAATCATGGGAACACTTCAAGTATTCAATAGGACTGTGTCACCCAAACACTTGGTTGCTAAATGGAGGTATATGTCATGACAAGCTTAATCACAATCTTAATCACCCAAACACTCCAATGTCATGACAAGCTTAATCACAATCTTAAGGCAAGCCAGCAAAAGCGACGAGACTGGAGATTTTTAATCAAAACCCAAAAAAGCTTGGGAAAGAGGAAGGGTTTAGCAGCATTTGATGCTTCCATTTGACAGAACACTGGCCAGAATGCCCCTTCAGTCTCAGTCTCGCAAATGGAATCTCTAATGGGCCAATGGATACGAGCAATTGAGCTGGCTTGGCAGAAGCAAAGCACGGAAAAAAAACCATATAACCTGAAGGAAGCATGATTTCCAGCTAGACTTGTCATCTTCTATCACGGATAGACCTAAAAATGGGACCAGCTGATCTTTCATTTTCCCTGGTTCGTGTCACTCTCAAGTTAAAAATCACGTTTGTTGAGTTACCATTCTTGTCCAATCTCATTAAAAACCACTCAAGCGTAAATGGACATTTAGACAAGGCCAAAAGTAAGAATTGACTAAATTTTAACCCTTCATTATGGAGTAACTACTTACAACTACTACACCAGTTATAGTTTAGTGTCTCTAAAACACATTTTTTATCATAGGTTCTTTGCATGAAATGGCATCGTTGACCTGCATACAAAACCTCAAATGAATGACTATATTGATGGACGATACTCACAGCATTACTACAACCACCAACCACAATCAAAAGGGGCGTCCAATGTGCAAATTACACACCCACCCATTCACAAACATATACATACATGCATACATACATAAGAGAAAAGAACTTAAGCACAAATGTGTGAAACTGGGCAGATATAGATGTCAATTGCAGAAAAGCATGAAGGAATAGATAAATCTAGACACGAGGTTAAATTGTATTGAAATTTGATGAATTGTCATCAGTACATAAATTATAGGTATTAAAAGAATGATATTCCCAATGAATTAAACAAGGAACCCCGGGTGCATTAACAACATTGTAAACAAAAAAATACATGTTAAAATCACCCAAGATTCATATCAACAAGACTACACTTACACACTTGCACACCTAAACACACAACCACAAACCTTTCTGACAAGAAGAGATACCCCAAAAGAAAACACCTAGCGGGAAAGGACAAGTAGTGCAGAGGCAACCATCAGCACCGTGAAGAAGAGTTTGTATCTACTGCCTGTGATTGATGTTGCCAAAGAGACATCCTGTGGCCTGAAAAACAAACCAAATAGAATCAGGACTAGCCATCGTCAATTTTTAGAGCTAACTTAAGAAGAAAACTTTTCACATAAGAGGACTCATTTTGCATACTTCTGCAATTTGCTGAGGGCACCACAATAGAGGGCATTGTCTGGCATAGGCAATTCAGTCTTGTTTGTAGCCTCTGGATTGACAACCCTGACATATGTTTCTTGGCCAAGATACCATGAGTCGAGGTTTTCTGTTCTAAGGTTCCAGACTCCAACATTGTCAAGTGATATCAAGATTGCTGTCCATGCACCAGGATAAACCTACAGAGACAGAGAGATTACATTTGAGCCTTCTTGACAAAAGAATCAGGTATCTCGTGAACTTCATCTCACATGAGGGATGAAAGTAGGCATTGTTGGTGGCAAGTCCAAGACCAGCAGATTAAGGTTTAATGCTTAATGCATAAATGTCATGACAAACTATGATGAACATAATCATTCATAAATGAATGGAGGAATTAAAGCTACCGAAAAACAGCAAACAACAACTTGATATATCCTGCAGGCATTGTCTGTATCCAACATCATGAGAAGCAAGGCACAACATTACAGAAAAGAAATACCAGAAACGTATTTTCAAATGCTGAAACCATTAAGGGAGGGAAAAGAAAGCAGTAGTTCAAATAAAATATTGTGTAAATGACAAAAATAACATGTTTCCCACTAAAATTCACAAGGGGAGCATCAACCTAAACCAGTTCAGCAGCAAATTATCAGTGCAAACTAGGATGTTTCCCATCAGTTATAATTACCTAAAATATTAATATAACAGTTGCACATAAACTCTACTCATTGAAAACAGCTCCAGCATAGCCATGTTTGTTTACTAGAAAATATCAAGTCAGAGAAGATAATACTAACTAACCAAAGTTTTAGAAGGAAGCATAACAAAACTAAAAGCACAAGTCTCCAATGACCTACCTGTGTTGTAGTGCGAGCAATGCCATCCCACTTGTTATATGTGCCCCTGCTATTCTCTGACCACTCACCATAATCCATTCTGCACCAATATAATTGAAGAGTTAGTGTTAAAATCATAGTGCATACGCATAAGATTATTCTTGATGATGTATATAGGAAACAAATTCCTACCCGACAACAAAAAAAGCATATCCACTCATGTGATAGCTCTGCACCTTGGTGTCATTGTTCTGTAGGATGACTTCCATAAATCCCCTATATGTTCCATTAATTACTGATGTTTCCATTTTAGGTGGCCCTGTAAGTGGTGTATTGGGAAAATCAAGCTTATATACTCCCTTAACCTTGAACTGGTCAGCAAGCCGGATTGGTGTAGCTGGATTGACAAACGATATCCCACTGAGTGTTGTTCGTCTTTTCCCATCAATAGTAACAGGTGGCTTGTTTTCCAACACAATAATTTCAGTCACATTGATTGAACCATATCTAAAAGATCCCTGTGGATTAGGGCGAGCACCACTGGCAGATACATTCCATCTGCATAATTTAAGCACAGAAAGTAAGAAAGCACGACCAACTAAACTATTCAAATAATTCCTTTTGCAACATTTGAAGATTACCGACAACTAAAATAATACTAAAATACATATCATTCACAATGATTTAGAATTCCATGATGTGTGCTTAACCACAATAAAAACCAACCTGATAGACCTTGCTTGGTTCATTGAAAAGGTTTTGTCATATTCATCCTGTGGTGGATCAGGGAGGGGACCAGCTGCCTTTCCTTTTGAATTTGAATAATGCAAAATGGCAACACCAGTAACTCGTTTCCACTGTGATTCATTCACAAACCTGGCACTTGCTACTATGTAGTAATCACTACTTGCATTCTGATCTGTAGTTAGCAGAAAAGAATAAGACTGTCCTACGTGTATGTCTAAGCTAGTGTAGTTCTGCTGCACTGTATATGATCCCTCGGTCTCTGCAAGAAGCACATTATGGCTCTGAATCCTGAAATTCAAGGAGGTCGATATTCCCACATTTGTCACTCGAAGGCGATAAGTTTTACCTGCCCAAAATAATAATGTAATGTTATCATTTAGGAGCTTGAAAAACTCACCATATACATAAAGGTAATAACTAATTCACGTTAGTTAGAAGTATGTATGTATGTATGTACCTAACTGACAGTTTGATGTACAAAATTTATGGGACAACATGTCTTTACAATGTGGTCATAAATCAGATGCATGCCAAAAATTGAAGGCCCAATGCTAGTTCAAAATTCACCATTAATTACACATGAAGTTAACACCAGTAATAACTAGGGAATTGGTAGTATGATTTGTGTATGAATAACTGAATATTCCCAAAGTGAAAGGTTGCATTCCATATGCAAAGCTCCATCCAGCAATTATAGTTAAGTAGATGCATTTTTTGGAAAGATCTAAGATAAAACTACATTATAATAAAGAGATGCTAATTACTTCCAAATTCTATCTCCCAGAATTAAGTCCATTTTTCAATCACCAAAACATCCTGTAATTACACAAGCAGTTGAACTCACATATTTAGAAATGAGTAGCAATTAGCAAATCATAAGTGAACAATGCCTTGCATTGCATGAAATAATCACCTGGGTGGACGTTAATTGTTTCATAATCAATGCCATCAGGTACCAGAGTATCATTATACCGGTAAGGGCCTTTGCCATTAATAAGAACTCCATCTGGCATCCCTAGATCTTTTCCAGCATCAAGTGCCTTTCTCAGAGCCTAGAATCCAAAAGGTGTCATCATTAGACACATTATATCTTACGCCCCAAATCCAACCTTAAAATGGAAAACAAAACTATATATCCAGTAACTTAACAACGCACTAACCGTGTGGTTGCGTGTGTACCAATCACCAATCAAAATTGTAATATCCCCGTCAGGTGTGTCAAAAGGAATAGGAATAATAGCTCTATTGTTTATAATAAAGCTGCCAAAACCACCAGCCGCTCTCTGGAAGTGCAGTGATGGGAAGTAGAAGAAACTCCCAATTTGGTCCTTCACCTGGAACTGGTAAGTCCAGTTCCACTTTGGAGGAATTGGACAATTAGTGCCAGGAAGCCCATCTTGCCATGAACTACGCCTCTGTTGAATCCCAGACCTATCTCACCCAACCGAAAAACACACAGTCAATCACTCTATCTTTGTACTATGATTTAGCTTAACAAAGATTACTGCAAAGTAAGATTCTACCAATGGATGAGTAAACCCTCGTCCAATTTGTTTCGAACATTGACAACGACATTGTTGTTAGTGGTTGCATTGATAGTGGGGCCAGGAAACTTGTTATTTATAGCAATTACCTACAAAGTAATGCAGACACAGAAAAGATTAATAGAACTCAAACAGCTCAACCACGTTACTACAAAGCTCACTTATATCTCAAACACTAAGCAAAATACAAGTAAAAAAAAGCTAATTTTTTGTAGATCTGAAGCTAAAAGTAGAAATTTTTAAGCAACGTAAAGGCAACTCATCTCTCACTTATGAAAGTTAAGAAGACCCACGTGAAAAAATGAACTGGAAATAGTAGTAAGAGCCTAAGAGGAAGTAGATATAGCAGCAAAAATGTAAAAGCAGACTAAAGAGATGTAAAAGAGCACACCTGTTGGGGAACACCCAAAGGAGAAGCAGTGATGTAAGACACCTCAAAATCATAGAAAACAAACGGATCTTCAGCAAAACACAAGCTCAAAAGCAGAGCAATGGGGACAAGAAACAGACCCAAGAACCTAATCAAAGACATTCTTCAAGGAAAAATAAAACTCTTTTTGGGTTTGTCTTACAAAATTTGTAGAGGGTACTCCTTGCTAAAACTTTACCGGGCTTTACATTATCTGACACGCAAAAGAAAGAGAAGAAGAAACCAGAGGCTCTAAAGATAGAAACTTTGAGAAGGAGAGAGAGGGACTAAAATTTAGCTTTATGAGTTGGCTTTTGTTAGAAAACTAAAAAAAAAAAGGGGGCGGAGCACTTTGGGATGGATGCGGTAAATGGGTGATCATAAGAGGAAGAGAGAGAAGAGTGGGTGACAGCCAGTAGCCAGTTAACGTAATAACGTGTTAAGACATGATAGATTTTCACACGCAGCCATAGCCCATACCCCACGGGGTTAACGATTACGCGTTGCTAAATTTGACGGATGTCGTGGGATGGTCGATGATGGAGTAACGTTCGGATCCTCTGAAAAGCAACACATGATCGCCAGCACATGATCACATCTAGCATGCGCCGCCCAACCACCCCCCCCCCAAGGAACTCAAATTTCTTTCGTTTGCTAGAAATTGCAGTACCTTCCTCCCTAACAACCGCTTGATATTTCGGTTTCACAGTTGCTTAAATATAGTTCTAATTACTCAAGAAGGATAATTTTTAGTAATAATTGCAGAGTTTACATGGGCAAAGATTAAATTAATTCGTCACTTTAAATAAAGATCTCAATGGATAAAATATTTATTATTATTTAAGTATTTGTATTTAATTATTTATTAAAATATTTAAATTCGATAATTATTTAAATATTTTTTTATTTTTATTACTCAAATTTTACTCATATAATATATAGAATATTCGTTAATAACTTGAAGGTACTTAATACTCATTTATTAAACTAAAGTTTAACCTTCATATTTAAAATTAATTTTAATACGTATTATTAAATTTTTTAAATTAATAAATTAAATTTAAAAATATAATCAAAATATTTAATAAATTAATTTAATTAATCATTACATTAATAATAAATAATTTATAAATAAATTATATATATCATATTAAATATATATTCTTTATAATAGAGTTGGATAGTATATATCTTAAAATTACTATTCAAGCCCTACTTGAACTAGTACCAGATAGTAATTTTATTGCTCAAAATTGATTATAGAATATCCTAATCTTACTTAACACAATCAAGTAGTTTCAGGATTCTCTTTATGAGATACCCATTGTCATCCTTAAATCTTAAGCATATAATTAAATTAGATAATTCGTGTATCATTGTATATGTTTTTTGTATAAAAGATAAATAAAATACAAAATATTATTATATCATAATTTATATAAAATTATATAACATAAAATATACATATTTTTATATTTATCAAACTCATATCATTTTTATTAAAATTTTAACTTATATTTTTTTATAATTTTATATTATATTTATATTCTATCGATATATCATACTTAAAATTATCACACAAATATATAACAAGCGATCTTATAATAAACAGATCATTATATACCGTTTAACAAAAAACAAATGAAGAAAGTAATACTAAATGGTGGAGTGGTGGGTTTTATTATTGGTCCTTAAACACTACTATTAGTTAAGTATTTGTCATAAATAAATAATATTGTTGATTAAAGATTTGTTTATAATCTCTACAATATTCATAGATATAATTCAATAAATTTTTTTTTTTTATAATGCTATATCCTTAAATTACTTTTTGTTATAACACGGAAGGGTCCTTTTTAGATCTCATGACCTACATGACAAGATGACAGGAGGACTTTTTGGTCGTTTTCCTGTATCAACATCAGAGATACTGTCATATTTTGGGCAACCAATGAGAAATATTTCAATGCCATGTGTATTTTTTTTTCCTTAACAAACAAAAAAGTAGTTTTCTTTGTCATTGTTTAGGGAAATATAACCAAAACAGAGAAAAATGTAACATCATGCATACGTATAGTCAGCAACAGCTTGGGTTGGGTTTTTCTTGCTTCAAATTTGATTCGATTTAATAAATTTAATATTTGATCTGATATTAAAATAATATTTTTATATTTAAATTTTATTCATATATGTTTAAATTTATAATTAATTTGATTTGATTTAAAATTAATAAAATACTAATTTTTAATATAAAATATTATTTAATATTATTTTTAAATATAAAATATATATAAATAAAATGTAAAATTAAATATAAACAAAAAATAATATATATCCAGTTGAATTGAAGTGAACTTGTATAAAATCTGCCATCGATTGAGTTAAGTTAAAATATTTAACTTAATTCAAAATTCGATTAAAAATATAAATATTATAAAATTAGGTCGAATCAAATCAAAATGTGATAGGTATGAATTGAATTGTCAGCTATATATATATATATATAGTTGTGTATGGATATATGTTAATATAAAAGGAGGTGTTAATATATTTATGTATGGAATGTGGTAGTCTATACATAGACAATTTCAACTTAAGTAATCATACAGTTTTATACAATTAGTTGTAATAATAAAGCTTTATTTATAAAGGGTTTCTTTTTATAAAATCATGAATGAAAGATTCATTTGAATTAGTGGGATGGCAAATTGAAGTGGTAAATCTTTTAGGTCACCTAACCCTAGGTCCAAAATCTAATATCATCATAAAAGAAGTTGGTTCCTGGACCTGTATGAACCGTTGTAATTACCTCTTATAAATGCGTTAAGCTAAAGAGTGTGTGGGTGGTTTCATATCACATGCTGTAATTATATAGAATTTTCTTTATATTTATATATTAAGGTGAGTGGTGAGTCCAAGCTTTTGTGATAACTACTCCCATCTAAATATAAATATAAAACTCATTTACCTGCTGCAGGAAAAAGAATGGCATATATGTACTTATAAAATCCATGATTTTAAGTCATTGAATTTTTTCCATGACCATTTCAATCCAACCCATATCAATAGAATTGGTTTTCATAAAGAAGTTGTATGAACCTGGAAGAAAAAGAGAGGGATTTCGTCTAGCTGGCAAATCACGTCCACTTTCCTCACCTGCAACCACATTCATGGCACATGGAAACTTGCTGTTGCACAAATAATAATAAATGAAAAGTTTTAAGACAAAGATATAAAATGATATCTTTTTCAAACAGACAAGAAAACTTATGCTTGGACTGTTGTTCATGTGCCTTAATTTAGTTCAAAGTTATATACCCATAACATTTATATATAATCAATCAATTTGATTTCAGCTATGGAGACAGAATTGTAGCTAGCTTCAAGTTTGTACAAACGTGAAAGGCAGCTATAATTTCTTTATTATTTTATGTTCAAAAATATCATAATTAAAACTGAATAAAAAATCCAATTTAAATGAATTTATGATTCAACTGGATGGTTTTTTTATATACAATGCCTCATATGTTTACCTCGATTACAAGAAATTTTTTTTGGAAATCATTTGTATATATATTTTCATTTTACTTCATTGTTACCTCTTTATTTTATTTGGGTTTTTCATGGCCCTAAAAGAAGTTTTGTTAAAATAAAACAAATTAAACGATTTACCGAAGTTATGAGATAGAGATAGAACTTATACAGCTAGTTATTAGACCGTGAAGAATGCAATTGGCTGGGTCTAACACAATGAGGTGGCTCTCAAAGCCCAACGAAGCCCCAAATGGTTCGATTCTTTGGTGTCCAATTACCAGCCCATGGCCTAGACTTCAAATTTCCACTGGTGTTTGATTTCTTCCATTGGTGTTTGATTTCCATACTAACATTTCAAAGTGCACATAATTCACACCCTTACCTAAGAGAATTAGTATTGGAGAGAAAAGATCCTACATCTAAAAGCCAATGATTGAATTATGACTTTATAAGTAAGGGTCATCCTCCTGTATCGAGACATATTTTTTTCAAATAATAAAACTGTGAAAGAAGTTAGGCCAGTTTGAGCAGACAATACTTTATAACAGGTAAATTCCAATTATCATTGCATCAATTATAATGCTAATAAATAATGCTATAGTATATAACATGTAAATATTGAATTTTATCAACTACAACTAGGAAGTTATCTATTGATTAAGTTGTTATGGGCTAAACAATTGCACATTTGATAACAAGAACAAACCCCCTTTGGGGGCTTAAAATTGGAATTGATAAGACCCAGTTGGCAGATTTAAGCAGAAGTTGAGACATTTCGTTACAAATTCAAAGAACTTCAAATCCCCAAGATACCGAAAACAATTTGCAATTTATGATCTTAAACAAAAAAAAGAAGACAAGAAAACAATGTGCAATTTCCAATCTTCATCGATGAGGCACCGGCAGATGCATGCAGATTGCAGATTGATACTTCACTCAGGTTCTCTTTGCAGTTACAAATGTCTGTTTGCACATTTGTTTCATATTAACTCTTCCCTAGCGAGATCTAATTCATTCCATTTCCAGTCAAATTGATGAGATGACATGATTTGATTGAAGAGAGGAACCAAAATTAATCAATGGTGAGGTTCCGATTACCACATGATTTCTTTTTGGTCCTTTAGAAGTTCTTATCATTTATTTGGATAGGGCCGAATGAATGCAGAGTTCATTTGCCAGATCTTAAGTGAGGCGGTAACACTGGCATTAGTAGCATTGTTAAATAAAAACACTTTAGCAGCTTCATAGATTGCTTTTGTCGGATAAAGACGAGATGTGATGACTGTCCTTCCGCCTTGAGCAAAGCTTTCAATTATCGAATGATCCACCTGGAAAACAATGCATTTTCATATTTATTGATCCTCATAGTAAGGCAATTTGTTTACTTACATATATACAGCAATAAGAGGAGGAAACAAGATAAACACTTGAACTCACCAATACTCTGAGGGATAAGTTTTCGCCTTTTAGAACTGGAAGGAAGCTCCCATAAATTTGTTTATTAACATCCGACGCTGCGGATGATCTGAAAGAATAGAATATGGTAAGTCCTAGCTATCTGATAAATAGACTAAAGTTAAGAGAGAACAGCTGAGGTTTATACATACCGGGATTGATCATTGCAGAAGGAAGTCTTGAGATTGCCATCAGATCCTTTGGTAATGTAGAAGTATACCGGAGTCTGCTCACTGAGGCTCTCATCTGCAAGCACCAGAAGACCAAATGGTCCCAATGCCCCACGTTCTGCAGCTCCTCCACTCGCACTGCAGCTGAATGTTATGTTGGACCCTGTTGCTTTCTTCAAAAGCTCTTTATCTATCTCAAACTCGGCTAAAATATCCAACTGTCACATGACCAGGCATCTACTTATCAACTAACAGGATCTTGGTCTACAAATTATCATTAGCATACATGTTCTAAAAGAAAAAGACAAACCTGTGTGGCTGGACCAACATCTAGAGGAACAACTGATCCTGGCAGGAGTGACACCTGGTTAAATTCATTGCTTTTCAACCTTAAACTCTCTATTTCTTCCACTGGCCATTGAAGCAAATGAGTACCAGTCTTCTTGTCAAACAAAATCGTCCTTGGGATGCTCTGTAAGTAAAATATCGCATTAGAAACATTTTAATCGGTTAAAGAAACTGAAGAAATCTGACCATTAAATAATGTTTATGGTTCAATGAAACAGAAAAATTACCTGGACAGATGCCCATCCTTTCTTCATATCAGCGGCTTCACTATCAGATTCTCCAATCCAACCCCACAACACTCTTCTGTTTTTGTTCTGATCATAGAAAGTCTTGGCAGCATAGTATATTCCATAATCATACCTTATTCCAATGCCAACATCAATTTCAGGTTGGTCAGGAATCCATGTACCATTCTTCTCATGATATGTCCCAATAGCATAGTAGTCATGCCTGTCATCATCGAGGCTTACCTTGACCACATGCTTCACTCCAGGTCCATTTACGGATGTGTCCAAGCCATTTTCTTCTGTTTTTGACACAGGAAAGAAGTCAACACATTCCCACATGCCAGTGCCGGGCACAGCATGAAGTACCCCATCTAACTTCTCGTAGTTTATGAAGTCCTTGGTATCATATATCAAAGCTATGCCAGTTTTATTTATCTTGGACCCTATGGTAATGCGCCACTTCCCTTCAGAGGTCAACCAGGCTGTAGTTGGGTCACGGAAATCCTTCTTATAGGTGCCTGGTGGTGGAACTAGAACAGGGTTCCCAGGATACTTGACCCAATGGACGAGGAGAGGGTCAGAGTGGTCAGCAGGGTAAGCAAGGTTTTGAACTTGAACAGCCTCCACGGTCGATCCTGTGTAGAGCATTACAATTTTTCCATTAGGGAGAATTGTGGCAGAACCAGTCCAGACGCCATTTTGATCGTACCATTGGTCAGCAACCATTGCTAATGGGAGGTGAAGCCAATGGATCAAGTCCTTGGATACTGCATGACCCCAAACTATATCACCCCACACGGCAGCATTGGGGTTGTATTGGTAGAAGAAATGGTACCATCCCTTGTAGAACATTGGTCCTGTTATTTGGCAATGGAATTTTAGAAAATCATAACACGATCCATTTCAGAATATATATATATATATATATATATATATATTCAGAGGAAATTCTTATTGACAACTTGACCAAGTTGCCATATTATATACGACTTGCCAAAATCCTTGAAGTCTAAGGATTTGAACGTTGTTTAAAGGCACAACAAGCTCGGTTGTCAACTATGTTGTAAGAAGATGGGGACAAGAACCTCATTTTTCTGCCCTGCCTTTTTTTGACAAATTCATTCAAAAATAAAAAAGCTAAAATCCCACAGACTTTTCTATATTTTTAATAGTAACTTTTAAACCAGTCAGTCATGTGCAATTGATTATTGCCTCACAAATTCGAAGAGTTAACTTCTAATTTTTATTTTTTAATTGAAAATTTCATTTGTTATATGTTTTTATCAATGTTCTTTAGTAGTAATATATATTTCATATATTAATAATGAATGTATTAGATGAAAAAAAAGTGCTCCAAAATTCATTGAAAAATTGGGTCCATCAAAAGAATTATTAAGAATATTTTCGAATGTGATTTTGACTAATCAATCTTTTTTCTTTTTTTTTTTTTTGTCAATTGGATTGTCTAGTCAATCAAATACTACAGTTAATCAAATAGGGGCAAAAAGTTCTTTTTTAAGTTTTAAACCTCAAATATGACGTAACTTTAAGGTTTTTCTTTTATAAAAGTTTGGGAATACCAAATCATATAATGATTAAGAGATATGCTGTAAGTGAAAAAAAAACGAGGCTTACCGTTAGGATCTGAAGCAGAACCAACCAGATTCCCACGCCATAGCAAGAACGTAAAAGCGCCCAGCCGTACAAAAAATTCAAGATATACAAAAATCAGCATATAAATGTAAGTAGTAAAGTGAAATTTTAATTTAATTAAATTATATAATTATTTTTAAAAAAGATGACGACTTTGAATCTTCGCTTCCATAAAATAATGCACTACCATAATCCTTCCTTCCCATGAATTATTGTATATAATAAATGATACTGTATAATATTTGATCTACCCTTTTGAGATACTATAAGAAATACGTATTTCTTTTTGTTCTCACTTCTTTTCTGCTTGCTCAGTAATGATGATATGATACTGTTGAATTATACACTTTCATTGTGTAGATGAAAATGAAAGGAACAGTGAATTAAAAAAAAATGAAAGGAAAGGAAAGGAATATTTTTTCCTTACCATTCATCCAATTCTTTTCTGGTTGAAAATGAAAAGATGTTCTTTGCCATGACAACATGCTATTATTCCATGGATACGCCGGTAAATTCCCGTTAACGTTGGCGGAAAGCCTGTTGGATTTCTCCGATACTCCGGCAGCCGGGCCACGTGACACCGGCTGCAAAGGTTCGGGTTTTTTGGAGCTCGATGAAGCCAATGAACCATGTTGATTTTCATGTACATGACCATTATCTGACCCATTGTTTCCTATCAACAATGCTGCAAACAAGCCAACCGCTAACAACCCAAAAAAGATTGTAAGATGCTCTTTGATGGGTTTCCGGTGAGTTATCTGAGGCCCTGTTGGATAAGACCCATCAGAGCTGGAGACTGGAAGGAATGGATTTGTATCCACCATTGTTTGTAATTGGGATACAAGAAAAAGAGAGAATATTTGGAGAGAACGGAGGAGAGAGTGCTATGTTTCAAGACTTGAGTTCTCATTTGTATATATGGGCAGTGCTTCGCTGGCCAAACAAGGTGGGTGGTTCATCTGATTGGCTAGGACCAGGAAAATAAAAGAAAAAAAGGGAAAATTTACCAAATAATTTGATTTATCTGAAACAAGACAAATGTAACTGCCATGTATTAGCTGTTATTCATTATATTAACTGTAAGATCATCATGTCCTCCATGCAATAGTTGTAGAAAAGACAGAAATTGGGGACAAGTCTCGTGTATTTTGTTTTACAATTCAGAGGGTAATGATTTTTTTAAAAAATTTTTTTATGATTTGCACAGAGAATTTTTTATGCTACCAGTCTGTTTGACCAATAGGAAAATTAGAAGATTTGGCTTTTTCCCAATAATTGCGTATTATGGAGATATGTATCAATAGTGTAGAAAAGAATTGATTTTGTAAAATAATCTGAGCTAATGCAATTCTATTTGGGGTAATAATGACAGCAAGGCTTAAACTTTGTGGTAATTAGTTGGGTTAATAAGTGGCAGCTGATGTCTGAACTTTATAAATCCTAAGTAATTCCTTTAATAAATCAAATAATTTCTCAAATATTAAAGGAAATAAAATTGTAATCAAATTAATCTCACTGTCGACACTTAAAAAATTCAGACTAATTACATTATCATCCTAAAAGCATTTTGCATTCGAATTGTCTTTAAAGTTAAAAAAAAAATGAAATTAACCAATTAATTTGACAACTGACTATTGTGATGATCGGCAGCAAGCGATGGACAAGGACTCCACCAAGGCAAAAGAAGGAACGAAAGAGGAAGATAAAATGAAAGACATGATTTAAAGTAATTTAACAAAGAATTTTTCTAGATAGGTTAGGTATTTAGTCTAAGGAGAAGTAAAATCTAGACTTGGTCCGGCAATTATTCACATAAACTAGAATTAATGACAAAGTGCTGATTAGGATTTGAAACCAGATGGTTCATCCACAGCCACCAGTTTCTTTAACAATTCTAGCAACAGAAAAAAGCAATTGCCAACACAAAAAGCTGTGGCAAAAATTGATCTCTGACATAAATTGATTGGACCAGCTGGTTCTTTTCCACATGCAAAGTAATTGTTTCAGTCGTATTGGTCTTTTCTCATGTACTTTTCATTGTTTTTATTTAGATAAAAACACAGCAATTAATACAAAAACCTCAACCAAAATAAACAAGCTGACCCCAGATCGCATGTTCCTCAAAAAAAAAAAAAAAAATGCCGGCTCTGCATGTTTCCACATGCAAGATTCACATGCATTTTGGACTCCGAGGAACAAGAGAAGAGAATGAATAATGATAGTTTAAATTTAAGAAATTTCTTGAAAATTTTAGATCACCGGTTTGTCGTAAATGTGGGCCAATGGGATCGAGTGGATGGTGGCAATCAAAATCTAGTTCTATATGTGAATGATTTTGCTAACATTATTGAAATAGGGCATGGTTACTTGGTGGAGGTGGAGAGACCTACTTAGGTTTTTGCCCTAGCTAGATTACATGTTTCATTGGTGGGGAAATAAAATTGGCGGTTATAATTGAAATGAATTGCTAGCATGACATTACCATTGCTTATCCCGATGAATTATTGAGGCTGACGTGTTTACTTTTGGTAAAGATACCAGGCTTTTCAATAAGATTCGAGCACAATCAAATTTTCAATTTTTAGTAACACATGTTTGCTTCAAAATCTTTTAATTTTTTTAATTCAAAATTTAATTGAATTAATTAATTCACTTATCGATAACATTCAATAAATTTAAATTTAAAAATTAATTTATAAAATTATTAAAAACATCTAATAAATTTAAATTTTAAATTTTAACACTTATAATTTTTACATTTATCCTCTATTATTGAAAAAAAAAAAACCTTAAACTTGATTTAGCGGTCTTAAAAATGTCAAAAAGTTCAAGGTTCAAATATCTATCCACTGCCTTAACATGATTTCCTCTCTTTACCTAAATTACTTGATTATAGTCTCTAATAAATCTTAATAACGTGATAATAATGACATCAATATATATAAAGGATTTTACTAATGGGCACTAAATAATATATTAATTAATCTTACAGTATGATTTGATAACACTCATTAGCAAAATCCATATATATAAAATTTCAATAATTCTCTCCTTGTGTTAATGTTACTATGAATAAAAAAAAAAAATTGCTATGCTTTATGTTGTATCGACTAGTCTAATTAATGCCGACATGGGTTTGTCAAGTAAAAGTAAACAATGGAACGGAGCAAATGTTTTATGTTTTATGTTGAATCCATGACTTTCATTTTCTTAAAGGAGGGGATCTCCAATGTCAGGGGAAAGGGAAGAGGTGATGGGGTACAACATGGCAGTGGCACCTTCCCTTTTTTTTTTTTTTCCTTAAAGGGAAAACTGGTCGGATACGGATCTGGATAAGGCGATAGCCTATCTAAAACACGAATACTGATCAAAGTTCAAACCAAAAACTCTTCCTTTACCATCTAGAAAGTTAAAAAGAAAGGTGACTGCCACTCAGCTCCTCTAGCAGGCAGAAGGCTGTACCAAGGTTCTAGCCTTTAGCTCTAGGTAATGGACTTTCTATGCAGGCTGTCAATTTCTTGGGCTTGAATGACACTAAAGCTTATTTCAAAAGTAGATTTCAAAGTTAGGGCTCAACCACCACTAAAGCCTAGCCCTATTTTTTCCCAAACTCCAAATGACAGAGTCAGTGCTTCCATTGGCTTGGAGCTTTAAATAAAGGCTCTGGTAAACTTACGTTAGGCTGAATAAATTAGGTTAGGTTTCCAAGTGAAAGCAAGCAACAATAACAGACTAGCTAGCTATAGCCAACTTCATAGCTATACTATATGAAAGACTGGAGCACCTGGCTGATCAAGCAGAACTCAATAACCTAGGTTGTTCAAAACGAAACAATAATAGGCTAAAGGGTTTGCAAAAATGAAACCATAATAGCATAAACGTAACAGTACTGTGAAAAGGAAAGCTTTGCCATGGAATTGAATGCAATTTTTGGAAAGCAAGTGAAAGGGTTACCACGTGCAACGGCGGCAGGGCAACATCAGCATTGTGTTCATGGATAACAGAAAAAAATGGAGGATTGACATCAAGCTTTAAAGACCAACTTTAAGTACTCCGCAAGAAAAAAAAAAGTGTTGCTAACATGGTGGAGTTGGTATCATTGCCATAAGAGATGTGCATTGAAATGGACAAGCCACTTTAGACATTTGGAGGTGGCCAAATCTTGTCCAGTAATTCCTCAACTCGCTTTGCTTGATTAATATATCCATCCAGTCCAGCAGCCAGAAGCTCCACAGATGCGGGTCCCATAGCTGATGAAAGGCTTAATTGGTCCCACTTTGTGAGCTTAACGTAGAGACAAATATCAGTCAACAAACAGTTCATGGTTTTTATAAACAGAAAGACCTTGTTATGCATGCTTGTGCTTGTCACTTGAATATGGGAAGAATGAAGATAATGGAGAATATTTCTCAAAGAAGGGAAATTTTTTATGAAAAGGAAAGAAAGTGCCTAAACTTGATGGCTTCTAGGTAGCAAATGTAAAGAGGTGACTTGCTTTCCTTACAATGAAATGACTTGCTATCAAAAGGGTACTGCAATAAGCAAGTATAACCAGATTAGCAATGAAATGACAAATACTTTCTTGATATGTAAAGTCTATCCACGGGGCACTGAAAGGATAGGTTCAACCTAAACATTCATAACCTGTAAATACAGGCTCATATCAAAGGCCTAACTCCAAAACCATGCCCATGTCTATACAGGCTGTTTCCACATAGCAAAAGTATTAGAACCTATCAAAGGAGTGATTGAATTTCGTAATGTAAGACCATGGATGTAATGACCTCGTTAAATCACTAAGTCCACATCATTTGCATTTTCTCATTATTATGTGCTCTGGGTTTTGATTTCCTTTTCCCCTGCTTTTCTGAGCTGACAACTGAAAATATGGAAAGAGTGCATACCTCTTCAGCAGTGAAATTTAAGTTGGCAGCAGACTGCGGGGACAGCCTCCTAACATAAGAGTACTTCTCATCAGGAGCAGTGATTGATTCTTTGAGTGATTGCAATACCTTCAAGGGTGCAATGATATAGTCAACCCTGAAAGAAAAAAAAATCCACAGGTTTAAGAAAAAAAGATCAATATTTGATTCTTAATTTGTAATTATTTCCAATTAAATTGATAATAGTTGTGTCATATGATACCCCAGCAGACTGAATAAATCCTGCTTGTTACGAACTGCTGCCGCCATAAGCTTTGATTTATGTCCATATTTGTGAATATAGTTATAAGCTTTTGTCACCTGCAGCAACAAATGACGGTACATTGAGTTCAAGCCTTTTTGTGTTATTACAGACAAATTAAATATAATGGTATACCAAATAAAGATCATATTATTGGTGAAATGTTCTTTCATAGATTACAAATTATCGATAAACGGTATCCTAGAATTATTAAAAAGGAGACAAGAAAAAAGAAAAGGCAAGTGTAACAATGATCACATGACATTATTCCTAAGTCTTTCAGAATTTATGCAGATCCCAGGTTCACAGCAACTTACTTACAAGAGATGCTGGATGGAAAGAAAGGAAAAGAGAAAAAAGGTAACACCAAGAATCATAAGTTTAATATGGTAAAAAGAAGAATCTCTTATTTTCGTTGGAAAATTCCTAAGAAGATGCTCAACAGTCAAAAGCAACAGATAGACTTCAATGCACTCCAGAACATTAGAGCCGACATTGCTTCTCACAATAACAATTCACTAATACTCAATGTCTCAACCAAAAACCTATAAGCTACAAGAAAGCTAAGTCTAAACTCTAATAAAAGCTGTTTAACTAACCAGGGCCAACCCAGGATCCTCTCCTCTTTGAATAGCAGCTTCAATCTCAGGGTCTCCAGAATGATTGCGTGCCCAATCCTGAAGAAAGAAAAAACATGTTTTAAGGATAACAAAATATCATGGTTTGCAGAATAAAGTCACCAAAATAGGTATTTTGGGAAAAAAATTTACCCGAACACGGCCAACAAAAATCTGAATAACAGAAGCACCAGCTTGGGCTGCAGCTGCAGCTTGAGCAAAGCTGAAGAAATATGCCAAAACAAGCAATGATTAGAAGGGAAAAAAAAAAAAAAGAGGACGAAAGAAAAGTCTTCCAAGTGAGGTTATTCTTTCTCTTACAAAATAGCATGTGCAGAAATTTCCTTAAATTGTTATAATCAAGCAACATCATCGTCTACATAATCACATACCTGTAAACAAAAGTCAAATGTGTTTGTATACCCTCAGATTCGAGCAATCTCGAGGCCTCTATTCCCTGTAAAACCAACATGCAATACCAAGAATTGCTAACTTTTATGTTCCAACTTCCAACACTATTAAGTCTAATAACTTTACAAGTGTGTACACACACATTTCATCAGAGGGACTCACTTGCCAAGTTGAAGGTATTTTAAACAATAAACGCTCTGGAGGAACATCAATGTCATCATACAACTTCAGCAAGTCGTGCACCTGCACATTTCAATAAGCTTTTAGCAATATCAGAAATAAAAAAACAGGGAAAATAAGCTACTAAAACACATAAAAGGAAAATAGTATTTTTAGTACCAACAAAGTGCAAGGGTTTAGAAGGCAATTCTATTCATCCTATATAGAATATATAGTTTGTTTCAATAAGCAGCATAAAAATCCCTATAACCATCATACTTGTTAAATATAATGATGTATAACAGATATTGAGTCTTTCACTACATTTCTCATTCCAAAAGCCTAGTGAAGAACCTCAAGTCCACATAAAATAAGCAAAAATTCAGGGACAAGGAATGAATAGTTCATTGCATCGTTGTGTATATTCAATTTAAATTTTCAACATTGATGCTTATGTGTAATACCCTAGACAATTTTCAACAGTTAAAATTGGCAGTGATTGAGATACCAAACAACAGAATCATACAACAAAATAAAAAAAATTCAGTAAGAAGCACATATGGACATATGAGAAAAGCCGATACCCTCCTAATAATGCCATGTGTGTCATAAGCCAGACGTGCATCCACTTCTGTTGAAACTCGACCAGGAACTAGCTTTGCCAAGTCACCACCAACATTTACCAAAGCCTTCACTTGATGAACAACCAAACAAATTACCGATCCAATTCCCTTTTTTTTTTTCATCTTTGACAATGCAAATGAATAATAGATAGCATAAAGCCAAAAATCTCAGGCATTATTATTTAACACTTCAGGGTATAAGAGTAACCTTGTTAACGAAACAAGACGACCTCAGTTCAGGATTGTCCAGCCCAGAACAACTTGAATCAGCCAAAGCCATATCCACAGCATTCTAAACCCAAAAGCAAAGAAATGTAAATTATATGTATATGGAAAAAGATTTTAAGCACATTTATTTTACATGAGAATTCTTACTCTAAAAATGGTATCGGGAAGGCTCAATATACCCAACAGCAGAGAAGAGCTAACAGTTGCAGCAGTTGGTGGAAACCTATGAATTTCAATTAATTAGTATAAAAAAACTCAGCCTTTACAGTAAAATTTTCATAAAGAAACTAAGAAGAAAACAATCTTTACTTTTCAAAATCATCAAAGATCACAGTGTCAGGAACTATCTCACTGAAAGTAGACACAGCATCCAGTTCAGTACTCAACCCTGAATTTTTCCAAAAAAAATTAAAAACCAAATAAATAACACATTGAACCATCAAAAGATCTAAAAGGAAAAGAGAGGTAAATACCAATGTCAAGAGAAGAAGAGAAGCCCGAGGAGGCACGAATAATTGGAAAAGATCTGTTGAACTTGAAATGCAGAGCAGAACAAGAAGACCCATTTGCAAATCTCAATCTAGATTTTGGCAAAGAAGAAGAAGAGGGAAATGAAGAAGACGGAGATTGCAAGGAGAGCGACATTTTTTTTTTCTTTCGTCTTTGTGAGATAGAGAGGTGCGAAGAACTCTATTTTTTGTTATATATATATATATATATATATATGTAGAGAGAGAGAGAGAGAGAGAGAGAGAGAGAGAGAGAGAGGGGTAAAATGTGGCCACGTGGAAGTTGTTTAAGTGAGGTTTGAGTTTATCTGTGGTCGTTTTGGGGTTTCGGATATTTTAACAATGGATAAGAGCTTTATCGGAATTTCCTTTAGATTTTTGCAAGGGATGGTATCTGTCTGAATTGTCGGCACCGGATTGGTTCTTCTTTTAATTTATTATGAATTTTAATAAATTTATTACGCTCAACAAAAATAGTAAATTCATAAATAAATTTAGCTAGCCCTATTGAGCAAGAATGATGATATAATATCAAAGCAAAGAGGCAAATGTCTAGGAAAATTTTATCTTCAAGTAGAATGGGGGTTAAATCCAAAGCCGACCCAGAAAGATGAGAAAGATGTGGGATTTGTGACGATAGTTAATCCTTGTTAACAATGGCTTCAGCTTCATATCAACGCTTTATACACTGGAAACAATGTTGCTTGTATACATTAATTCAAAGCAGACAGAAATAATAAAACCAGGGAAAAATGCTTTACAATATTAAGGGAAAATATATTTATATAAACAATTTGTTATTAATTAATATTTTCAAAATTCTGACAAAAAGATTGGAAATAAAATGGCCACCGGACTGGAATGAGAGGATTCATTGTGGATATCTGAATAAAAATTGAAGGGAAATTTTATTTGCATATAACTAAATGCTTCTCTTCATGAAAATTTGTTGTGCTGCTGCTCTTTCTTCAAGCTTCTTCCATCTCACTAAAGCCTCGAGAAATTTCTTCACCTGCACCATATTTCCATATTATAGTATGGTATGACTATGAAGAGAAGCCATTATACCTTTGTTTTGCAACAAAATAAAAGAAAAAACAAGAATTATTCTTTAGCAGGATCTTTTACCTCTGATGGGTCCCTGACAGAGTAAAATGCCTTGCTTTCTTTGGGCAATGAAGACACCAAGATCCCATAACCCCGATTTCCTTCCCGCAAAACCTGATTTAGATTCAGTGTTGGAATCTGGTGCAAATTTTCTGAATGGCACAATAATAACAACAGCAGTTAGAGTGATGTGTGCTTACCTTGAATGCATCCTCATCACTCTTGTCATCTCCAATAAAGATTGGGAGCACATCATCTCTATCACTTAGTCCTGCATCAATGTCCATTATAAATTATACTAATAAGCGAATGCAGCATATTATATTAACCTGGCATATCGGTGATCGTAGAGAGAAAATTACCAAGGGATTCAAGCAGAAATTCAACTGCCTTCCCTTTATTCCAGTCAATCACAGGACGGATCTCTAAAACCTGAAGAACAAGGAAAATAAGCATATTAGGAGGCAAAACGGTAGCATAACTATAAAATAAACACAAATTTCAATGAATTCTCAAGAAAGAAAATAAGGAAATTGAGTCACATATATAATACAACAAATAAAGATATAGTTCCAAGCCAGCAAAAAGGACACACCTTCCGTCCATGAGTTAATCGCAAACGAGGATAATTTTTCAAAATATCATGAACACATTGTGCTATAGCTGGCCAGTTCTGAAGAAAAGGAAACAAAATGCACTTAGACGTTGGAACTAGTTAGCCAGACTGAATGCTTATAAAGAAAATATGGCACCTACTGTCTCTCACCTTCTCTTCGACATTACGGTAATGTACAGAGGCGCAAAACTTGTGATTCTCAACTTTTGCACCTTTGATATCTTTGGTATTCTCGACAAGGGTTCTAAAAACCTGCAAGAAAAACCAACATGTTTACTATTCTATATTAGAACATGATCTAGACCAGTGATGAATGCAAAATGTGCTAAACGTAACATTTATGTACCTCATCAATCATAGGTATGAATTCTCTAGCGGGCTGGAAAAGGTTACCTCCTTGCCCTGTCACACAAGTAAAGAGAATGATTAACATGAAATTGGGAGTGAAATTATACTTTGAATAATCTATTTGACAGCCTACAATAAGTTAGATGAGGCGAGCTTGTCAAAATCTCATGACTCTTACCTTTTGGTCAGTTGATCTAATACAATTTGGATGGTCATCGGACTCTGTATGATTCACAGGGCCCATGATGTCCATTCCATGACTACCAGCATAATAAAGTTCAGTTAGTCCTACCAATTCATAAACCTGAAAAAAAAAAATGCATTGCTTCAGACCCTATTGATGCCCAGATGATAACTATAAAGGGGAAAGAAGTGGACAAAAAATGCAACAAAGTTGCTGAATGCTCTACCTTATCACGACTTCTGCCACTAATAATTGCTGTTGGGAAATACTTTGCAACTTTTCTGACAGCAGAACGCATCTGAAAAAGAGCAAGACTACTTTCAGTTTTTGTTTCTTTAAAATCTTAATCAAAGGAAAATATTGAAGACAACCAAGAAATTAGTATCATATACATGCACCAAAATGGACCGTCATACTTACAGCGTCAGACATAAAGGCACGATCAGGGTCATCTACTATTGGAGAAAGAGTACCATCATAATCTAGAAAAACAGCTATCTTCTTGTTCTTTGCACTTTTGGAAATTTTCTCAAAAGATTTAAGTGCAGAAGGATATTTAATCTGCATAATCAGCAGAGAAGCAGAGCATAAGAACAAGCAAGTTTATCTAGTGAAACGTATGTGTTTATCAATAATTAAATATATGCATACCATCCAGGAGCAATAAGCAATATCAATATCATCCGCAGAAACGTCAATATTGAAGTCCTTGATTAACTTCTTACGAGGGGGTGATGAAGATTTCATGGCATCCAGCCAACCATTGGACCAAACATCATCAAGCTTTCCAGGTTTCTTCCTGGGAATTGTAATATACTTGCCAGAGGACAAAGATCCACCTGATTGTGGATAGCACAACAGATTCGAGTGGATGCCTAGTTTTGACTTGTTTATTGGAATAGGATCAGTGAGGACAGGAGATGAATGATTGGACTTCAAATCCATTAGCTTCAGATCACTTTTTAAGTACACTTGTATATAACAGATTAAACTAGAACTATGATAATAGAAGCAGCTTTGTCAAGTACAGATATGAACCTTCAACCCTTAAAACTTTTTAGCCAACCCTTTTGTCTATGAAAAACCACCTCTTCAAAGTTTTCTTATCACTGCTGTTGGGTAAGCAGTCCATCAATCGCAGGCTTCCTGAAAACTGATGATCACAGTAAAGTGTAAATTTAAACTATGAAATAACAGCAAGATGTAAATTTAAGATTTGAAGTTTTTCTCAACTTAAATGCAGATACCAGACGTACCTTCTCATCTCCAAAACTACACCGCATTTATGGCAGGTAACAGAACATTATTTGTGCAATGATTCTCCAGAGGATAGTAGTTTGGGTTAAAAATTTGATCAGAAAGTGCTTAAATCTGCAAGTAGTACAGTAGAAACAGGCATTATAATAAAGATGTGTACAAATAGTGATTCAATGAGTAAAAATGACCTTAAGAACATTGCTTTCTGGACATAAAACAGAAAATCAATTTCACCAATGTGACAAATAATCTATTTGCTAAAAACAACACAAGATTGCTTTGATCCAGGTCTTGAACCATCACTATCTGATCTGGCTTCTACGATTAAACTAGCAGGTGACAAGATAGTTTTGCAACTTTTTCGTATCTTTTTAGCAATGAAAGGATACAGGCACCAGTAAAAAGCATATAAATACACATATATATTATAAATAAATGTATGTATATGTAACAACATTCATAAAAACATATTTCATCACCACAGTATATGTGGTGTCACCACATTTTCATTTCTTTGTCCAGATAGATACATAATCTAAAATTAAAAAATACTCCCACAAGTACTTAAATGAAATCACAAATACATTGTAGGAGTCACCAATTTGTATCCAACTACAACAGGCGGAACACTTACGTATAAAAAAGCTTTGTATTTACCTAAAACTTCTAGACACGTATATTTTACCTAAGGGGGCCATTGATGGAGAAAGGATGTGATTAAATTGCAGATCTAAATCTACATGAACATCAAAATATAAAAAATAAAAAAGGAAGTAGTATAGTATACTATTACGCAAAAAAAGGAAAAAAATTGAAAATAAAAAAGATGTAAGAACTAGTATATTAACATCATTCACTAAACATGAAAAAGTCAAATACTAATGAAGGTTTTGGACATAATCTCATTAGCAAAATTTTTTATATTTAAGGTTAACATCAAAGGAAAGAGATTAAGACAAGTTTCACAATTTTCAAGCTAGTTCATATGTAGCAACCGACAAAATAGAAACTTATACTAAATAAAATAAAATAAAACGGTTTCTTCTGTTATATACATCTCCCACAACAAGAAAAGATCATATACACCTTTTAAAAAATATTAATACTAAAACAAAGAAAACCCCACAAATGTATTCGTCAGAAAAACCAGGTTAAATACAGAAGACATATTATGTGAAAATAAAACAGACCCACAAGCAAAAATCAAAAGTAAAACAAACCCAGAATTATAAAGCTGGGTTTATATATATATATATATATATATATATATAAATGCATATTTAAAACAGACCCAGAAACAAAAATCCTTTCACAAACCTAGCGGGCGTTGGCATAGAGATCTTAATCTTAAAGTACCAAGTGAAAAGAACCCAAAAGAAAATATAAAGACATGCTTTAACAACAGTTGCATTAACAAAAGAGAAATCTTAACGTAACGAACCTGATTGACGAGTTGAAACCCAGGCAAGAACTGATTTCTAAAATGCAGTTCTTTCGACAAGAGAAAATCCGCACAAAAACAACGAAGGAAACCAAATAAAAGAAACAAACAGAAGATGTTTACCAAGATGGAATTGGAAAACAAGAAACCCTAAAATTCGTAAACCCAAAACGAACGGTGAAATATAAGAGAAACAAACGAGAGAAGGAAGTTGCGTATTTATACAGTTTATGAGAAACCAGACGTGTTAATCAAGGTAAGTCGTTTTTAGGTAACACCCGCCGTGGTTTTACCTATTGGTTAACTGGAAACTGACACGTGTAGTGAAGGTGAGCTGGGTTGTAGCAATGCCATCTGTAAGAGTGTCAAAATGACGTGGACACGTGTCAGTTTGGGCCCACTGTCGTCTGTGACCGTAATTGTTTTTTATTTTTTTAAAAAGAAAATTTTAAAAGGGTAGGAAAAAGAAATTTTATTTTTGGTGTGACGTGCGAAAAAAGGTGAAGTTGTTTGAAAAAAGAAAATTAGAGAAAAAAAAAAAAGAAGTTTCCGCTTTTTCAACGGCTGAAAAAACAAAATCATTAAATTATCGCGCAAATCTCGTGCGATAATTCACGTGGCTTTGACATCTAAGAAAAAAAGGAAAAGTAAATTCGGAATTGTGAAATAAAAACAAATTATTATTTCTTCCGTTTTAAAATATTTATTATGCAATTCATAATTTTTAATGTTAAAAATAAAAATAATTTTAAAATATAAAAAAAGAATTTTACATGTTTTAAAAAAGTAGGATATAATTTTAAAATATTCCAAAAAAATTTTTAAAAAGGGGCAAAAGGAGTATATACAATTAAAGATTAATAAAATTAAAAAGAAAAAACTTAAAACCAAATTAAACGTAAATTTGGTGGAAATGGGTTTTTTTTATTATATAAACATATTTATTGTGTGATCATAATAGATTTTCTACTATATTCACGAAAGCAATGTTTAAAAGATGGGAATAGGACTTAGAATTTGACAATAAGATTTGAAGTAAGTTTTCTAGAGAGATTGTCACATTGAGGTCATGTCAAGAAAATTTTTGGTAAGATACTCATATTACATTAAGCAAATCTTTGCCCTTATATTGTTTTTCTTTGGTGATGTGGGTAACAAAGTAAGTAAATTAGTGAATACATATTTTGATAGCTATATAGGTAATTATTAATAATAATGGTACATTTAGACTTTTATTACCAACTTGCAACTTTTATAAGTAAAATGATTGATTTCGAAACAAATATTAAAGAGACTAAAATTGGATTTCATACACAATTTATTGGAATAAATGTAGATGATAAACATAGTTCATAAAAATTTTTCTTGTATAGTCGATTATCCCTTTAATCAATTAATATGTTATTAAAATTAATATTTGGAGATTATGAGTTCGAAAAAACTTATGCATGTAATGTCTTCTTCAACTAAGTAAGTAATAAGATAGAATATTTAAAGGTAAACTAGTTATTTAAAAAAAAATTCTTGTCGTAAATGAATAGAGGATTCTCGTAAATTATATCTTAGTTCGAAAATGGGTTACTTTTTTTTTTATAACTAGAGAGACCCAATTATGTATATTTAGTTAGTAGTAGAATTCAAATTTAAAAAATACAATTAAAAAAAAATTAGTCAAGTATGTAAGTTTTCAAACTTCAAAGTCAAGATCATATACAAACAATTTGTGCTAGCAACCTCACTTGTAGTTTTCACCACTTGGTCAATCTTCCATACAGTTCCATGGTATCCTTGAAGTTTGACTAATAATTACTAGAGGAATTATTTCATTTCATAATGTGAAAGGAATCTAAACTCCATTTTGGCAAAGATGTTAATGCATTTACTCTTCATTTCCTTTTCATACTAAAATAAGGAATTAGGGTTAATTCAGTTTAGGTAAAAACTAAGATTTAACTAAAAGGGGAACAAAATTATGTTTGGAACAATTGTCCTCTCTTTTCAACACAAAGAACAAAGAGAAAAGGGAGAGACAACAGCATCTAACTAGTAATTACCAACAATAATCAAAAAGAGGTTAGGATTGGTTCTTGAAGTTTGGATCACTTTACAACATGTTTGCAATCATCATTTAGATTTTAATTTGCAACATCGAAAATATGAAAGTCGAAATTGAAAATCGAATTGGAATTGAATTCAGATCAAGTTGAAAGATGTATCTTATTTTCGAAAGTAATTTATTATCCATCTATTTATCTATTTATCTATCTATATATTCTTCATCTACTTTCTCAAAACTCCCGTGTCAAAAATGCAATACTATTTGCTACTAATTTTTCACCAATTTAGATATATATATCCATAAGAGTATGAATTATAAAAAATATAATATATATATATGCACAAAATTTTTTGTATTTAAAGTTATTAGAATTTGAATCCTGATAATTAAAATTAAAAATTTAGTATATATGTACAATTTATAATTATAAATGATTATACAATCAAATTAATAGACCTTAATTTGTATATAAATGATATCTTTGATATGTTCAAAAATTTTTTTTTTAAATCTTTAAAAAATGAAATTCAAATCTAAAATCACTAAGTCTTAAAAGGCCGTCTTATTATTAAGGCAAGACCTATTTACAAACCACTCCCAGTGTGTGAAAGTATTTCCTTTATCACGCATACAATATTTAATTTCCTACGTATGGACTTCATTTCTTTATGCGTGCTTTTGACTAGAATGGCACTTAGATGATGGTGGGAAAGTTCCTTTGTGTTTTTAAATGGCTTTAATTATAATTACTTTTAAGTGGGTTTGGAATTTTAAGTTAAAAGATGAATTTAAGCTTAATTTTTAATCATTTCCGTGAACATCATGCTACTTAACGTAGGAGATCAATTATTGGTAGGATGAAAAGGAAAAATGATGGGATTTCAAACAAAGTTGGAAAAAAAGTAACAATTTAAATTCATGTTTCTCACTTAAGGAATTGACTTTCAGCTCACTCGCCTAAGATCATTTCCTAAGAGTTCCACATTTGAATTAAAACCTCTCTTTTCTTTGTGTTGTTTTTTCTATGGCAATGTAGGCATTAACCTCTAGAGTGCGTATAAACCCTAGATTCCAATTAGGGGTTTAAATACACTCTTTGTTCTCTTAAAAAAGTATTGGTCAAAATATGTTATAGGTCTTTGTACTTTTCGATTTTAAAAAATCTAATTCCTCTAATATTATTTAAAAAATTTAATCCTTATAATATTATTTTATTCAATTCAATCATTAATAATGCATAAAGACTTAATTTTTTAAAAATAATATATAGGTAAAAATAATATTATAAGGACAAAATTTTTTAAAATAATATTATAAAGACTAAATTCTTAAAAATCGAAGAATATAAGACCTATAAAACATTTTAACCAAAGGTATTTGGGTGAGCCAACTCTATTGATTTATTTACTTTATATAAAAAATCAATCACTTGTTTAATTTAATAAATAAATAAAAATTGAATTTATTTATGAATTGATCAACAAATATTTTGCTTATTTACATTCTCAATCATAAATGCATTTTGATATTAAAAGTATTTAACCTTTTCACCAAAAGTGCTTGTAATTGTAGCATTTTTTTTATTTAAAAAATATCATTGGGTATTAGAGTGGTAATTTTTTAGAATTAGAAATGATGATGCATTAGAAACTTGGCATTAGAGTGGGGTAATTAATGGGAAATAGTTTTAGATTCAAGACTCCCAACATGTTTTCATTTGTTGTAATAAAAAATAACATTAGTTTAATAGCCAAAATTAACGAAAGTTGGAATAAAAGCAGCATTGCCCTGTACACTCTAATGGTTTAGGTAAAGTCCCATCAAAATATAAACGTTTTTTGGAGGATTGTTGCTGTTATTTTCAAATCGATTTGAGGTGGAAAATGCAAATAGTAGGTAAAGGTTGGCATTGCCCAACCCCACCATACCAAACAAATCCTAGCTACCTCTCTTGAAAGCTTGCCCAATCCCTGTATTTTTGCGAAAGTTTGGTTTAAAAATTGGCTTCAAATCTTAACCTGATGTGACTCCCCTTTCTAACTTTAAACAAGATCCCTATCACAATAAAATCAGGTATAGTTCTTTTGGAATTTGATACATATATAAATATTATATAAAGTATTATTATATGATTTGTAAATAATATATCTTTGTTGATAAGTATTTTATAAATTTAAAAAATCTCAAAAAATTAATAAATTGACGATTTACCTTATTTTTAAAAATAAAATAATTTTATCTATTCTTAAATAAAAAAATTTAAAAAAAAAAAAACACGAAACCCAAATCTCCTATTTTATTTCATTTGAAGTAGGTTATGTTGTGAGTAGGGTTTCGCTGTCGCGACCAGCCACCTCGGATACACGAAGGCGAATCGTTATCGCCACCGTAAAGGACAAGACTTAAAACACTCGCACATGCCCCACAACTCCCAATGCCCAAATCATTGAGACCGATTCATGCTGACGTGGCAGAAACTTTTCTCATTGGGGTTTTTTAGGGCAAAGGTGGGTCCATAGATTTGGGTCCCAGGACTGCACGAATTACGAGGAAGTTGTAGGGTGATGTGGCGGTGATGCAATGAGGAGAGACCTGACTCGGTGCTGACACGGCGGAGTTTAATATTTTGGAGGTCAAGACTTGACTCAAGACTCGGACAAAAATGGGAAAAGAGCGTCTGCGTTATCATGCCTGGCTGCGCCTTCCACTGAAGAGTCGTTTTGAAGAAGAAAAAAGAAAAAGGGGGTGAGGATGGAATTTCAAAGGCAGTATGCGTCCTTTTGGGCTTTTTTCAACTACCATCTTTGAAGGCACCAAGAATCTTCTCAACCATGCCGCTTGCAATCCAGTGTTCTGTGTAGGAAAGTTTCTGCCTTTTTGGACAATAGTGAATCAATTATTAACTATGTCTTACATTTTCAAATATTCCTTATCAAGTTCTCATGTATGTATTTTTCTTGATATAAGATAAGGTAATATAACACAAATTCAATATCTTCTACTCAAATCATACATTACTTTTATTACTTAAACTCATTTTTTTTATAAAAAAAATAGTCGCAATTTGAAGTTCGAGAAAGTCATTGGAGTATTTAGAATTTTTTTATTGGGGATCAGGACTTATAATATATATATATATATATATATATTATCAAA